TATATATATATATACCTTGTAAAAATCATTTTGTAAAAACCCTTTTTTCTGAGGTAGTTTTCCTGATGGGTTCTTCCAGTTTTGAAGTAAAACTATAAACTTTCAAAAAATTCTCTTTCTGTATACCTCTTTGGAACATGTAGTAGGTATTCGATGGTTATTTAGTAAAATATAATAACAGTATATTAGAATGCTTATTTTCATGTTAAACATTTTGGAAACTCCATAGTCTATTTGTTTGTACAGAAAGTAATTTTTCAAATGTGTGTGTTTAGTGCATTAGAATTTGTTTGTTTCATGTTGACTTTTCTTAGATTATGGCTACACATAAGGGAAAAAATTATACTTGTATACATTTTCCATTTGCAGATTGTCTTTAAAAGCAGCTTTTTTCCCCTTGACTATCTAGATGACTTAGACTTTTAGATTTCATATAGTGATAACATTTTCAGTCAGTCCTCCACACTCCAGGATGTAGAATTGCTAAATTACTTAATTAAGCTTCTAGACTTCTCAGATTGACACAGTACTTTATCATACTGAACAGTTAACAACCCAGCGTGGTGATTTGTGGTTGCATATTTCTTGGGAAAAGTGTGTCATCTTAGATTTGTATTTGATAGTGCCCCAAAAATGGGAACTCAAAAAACTTTTTTCATTCTCATTTTCTCAAATGTGAAGTAACCTCTGTTAAAGCAACAACCTTCTTGATGTTCTTTTATTGCCTTGGAGTATTTCAGGTCAGCCAGTAGGAACCTTGTCCTTAAGGACAGTGGTGGTGAACCTGTGGCATGCGTGTCACAGTGGGTGTTTGTGTTTGCCATCACTGCTTTGGGATGTTTCTCAGTATTGAACTGAGAAAATTGAACTGAAATTTTTCTCCAGTATTGAACATGTCAGTGATATCAGCATTATTTAGCCCTGTAGGCCAACGTGGAGGGGGCAAAAAGGCACTGCTTTCTCAGCTCCTGAGAGGCTGATATTTAGAGCTGTGGTCCAGTAAGAGTGAGTTATCACTTGTTATCGTTAATCTGTAGACGTCTGTTCATACTTTGAAAAGTTACAGTGTTGGTGTCATTGTTATGTGGGGGCAGAGGATTGCAAATTTGAGCCCAGCCTGGGGAACTTAACAATTTAGCAAGAGCCGATCTCAAAATGAAGCAGCGGGAGTGTAATTCAGTGTAAAGACCCTTGGTTCAGGCCCCAGCCCTGCAAATAAAAAATTAACACTTAAAATTTTTTAAAAACTATGACTTGGATATTTATTTTACTCAGATATAGCAATTTAAGTGGAAATAGTTTGAAAACTGGAAACTAACAGACAGGCACCTGAAAGTCTGTCCTTGGTGTTTAGAGTAGGGCAATGATACGATGCACTCGGAAACTGAGGAAGAGCAAAAAGGGACAAGGTCAAAGTTGAGGTAGGTGACATTGAAAGTAGAAATGAAAGTGTTTAATCAGTAGTCATTTTGGAGGGGAAAAGCTGTATTTCTTGATGACGGATAAAATAGAGGAAAAGAAATCCCTTGCTTCCCAAATCAATTCATCCAATAAATATTTGAGTGCCTATTATGAAAAAATTGACCACAAGGTTTACTATATGAAGGTACAGAACTGTGCGGACTCTTAGCAGTCAGTAGTCTTGTTCTAGGCAGGATCCTTTCTTCACATACAGAATTTGGGAGCAAGTGCAGTTAAGTCAGCCTGTGCAACTATAAACAAGTTGTGAGCTCTATCACAGAGAGGGGCACAAAATAGTACTACATTAATTTTTATGTGGTTCTCATGAAATTTGTTTATTCAGGATCAGACATCTGAATGTAAAGTTTCACTAAAAATACATATTTTCAGGTGCTTAGAAGGAATATGCTCTTTAAAAGCACTGTAATGAAATTTTGGCTTTTAAGCAATTTATATTTAGCCTTACTGTTAGTATTGCTGGAAGAAAGACATTTCTGACTCTTACCTACGTAAACTTGAATATTTGTTACAGGCCTGTCAATTCTAGTTATTGTTAGTGTTAAAACAATAGGATTTAAATGAAATTTACTTGTGGGCTAGCATAATAAGTTTATTTAATAGCAGCAGTTCTCATAGTTCAGGCTGAATCAGAAGCACCTTGCGGTCCTATTTTACTATAGAGTATTTAACTGTATCACTCCTAGTCTCTTATTTAAATCAGTCTGAGGTAGGATTAAAAATTTGCATTTTCATCAAGGTGATGCTCATGTAAAGACTTTTATTATGTAATAATGAATAGTATTACTATAATACACTATAGCTTGGCTTTTAACAAATAGACTAATAAAGTCTGTAATGTGTAAAATTTTTAAAAAATTTTCATAAGCATACAGCTTAATTCCAGATCTCCTTAGATGTGATAAAATCTTAGTCTCTCCTTCAATTTATTATTTTAATTGTATTATGTAGCAATAGACCAAAGTAGAAAGCATTCTAAAAGTACCTTAGAACATTATAAGTACTGTTCTCTATTCATAACAAATTAAGTATTTAGAGGCATTTAACAGCTATACTTAGATTAATGATGGGGATACATTCTGAGAAGCTCATTGTAGGCAGTTTCATCATTGTTTAAGGAACATTATTGAGTTTACTTGCACAAACCTAGATTGTATAACTTATTTACTGAGTGTCTATTCTATATAATGTAAACAATTGCCCTGTGCTATAAACCTGTACAGTGAATTGCTGTACTGAACAGAATAGGCAGTTGTAATGGTGTATGTATCTAAAGATAAAGACACACTTAAATAGAGCACATACTAGTAATGTAGGACTAGAAAGGTGCTGTGGCTGAGTCAGGTGAGTGGTGAGTAAATGTGAAAATCTAAGACATTTTTGCACATCACTGTAAACTAGAAATACTGTACACTTAACGCTATACTATATTTGTAAAAATTTTCTTCAATAATAAATGAATCTTAGCTTAGTGTTTGTCACTAATGCTTTGCTGTTGTTGGACTATAATACTTAATACCCAAAGGAAGAAGGGTTTAATTTGCCTCCTGGTTTCCCAGGGTTCAGTCCATAGTTGTCTGGCTCCAGGTATGATGAAGCAAAACTGCTTAGTTCATGGCATTTGGAAAGCAGAGCAGGGGAATAGCACCAGAGAGGAAGGGGTAAAGGACTAAATTCAGTACCCAAGGTTGCACCTCCATGACCTACCCAGACATACCCAGAATTGTGTTCCACCAGTCCCCTGGGTGGCTCCCAAGTCAGTCAAGTTGACACAACCATGTTTATACTCATCACATACTGTGACTTATTTTCTTTATGAACTTTTAAAAAATATTTTAATTTTTTGTAGTAATACTTTAATACTTAGTTTAAAATGCAGACTATAAATTGCATAAAGGTATTTTTATATCCTTATTCTATGAATTTTTTGGTTGTATTTTCGAAAGTCATACTTTTTAAATGCAAGGGTTAGAATCACCCATTTCATTGCCCTCCACCCCCACATCTTATCCCAGTGAAAGGTCTTCAGGGGCAATACCACCCTGGTGCTCCTATAACAGTGCCTCCAGGAATCCCTCTTGAAGGATCTGCCTAATGACACTGTTTTACAGTTAACTTTTTGTTTATTTTATAAGTAGGAATGCACTCTAAAATAATGACTAAAAAGTATAGTTTACTAAATACATAAACCACAAACGTAGCTATTTATCAAGTATTGTGTATTGTTACAATTGTTACATAATTGTGTGTGCTATAGTTTTATATAACTGGTGCCACAGTAAGTTTATTTATGCCAGTATCACCACAAACATGTGAGTAATGCATTCTGCTACAAGAGGAAAATACATAGGCCAATAGGAATTTTTCAGCTCCCTTATAATCTTATGAGACCATTGACTGATACTTGGTCAGGTCCTCATTATGCTCTACATGACTTTATTTGAAACTGTGATTTGCTACCTCAATACTTCTTCTTGAAGTTAAAAATCAAGACTCCATTTTTTACAAATTAGTAACCAGAAAAAAAAGACTTCACTCAAAAGGTGATTGATTTTGTTTCCTATTTTCCTTCTTTCTTTCTGTGTCAAATAGTTCTCAGTTTGCTGAATTTCAAATGTGAAACCTTAAAGATTAAACGTTATAGTATAGTTAATGTGGCATGTCAACCCAAGTTAGTTTCAGTAATTAAGAAAAACAATCTTATGTTTTTTAGCTAATGGGAATGACAACAAGAAATTTAAAGGAGATAGACCTCCCTGTTCGCCTTCCCGAGTTCTCCATCTTCGCAAAATTCCATGTGATGTCACCGAAGCGGAGGTCATATCATTAGGTCTCCCGTTTGGCAGAGTAACTAATCTTTTGATGTTGAAAGGAAAAAGCCAGGTATGTAACATGTAAAGATTGATGCAGAGTCATTATCTCCAGGGTGTTACAGCTGATTTTTATTTTCTTGAACTTCATCTTCTAAATTTCAGTGTTATTATCATAAATTAGTTTTTAAAGAAACAGCAAACAAAAATACTAGCACAAGAAACAGAATTAATTTTTACCTAGTCATTTTCCTCTTTAGAAAGAAACATTTCCTATTGTATTTATTTCATTTTATAGGATGATCTATGACAAATATCCTGATTCCTAGAAGACCTTGGTAGGATATAAATTATACCTCATTTGACAAAATAAACTTTTCTAAAACCTAGGCAGAAATATATGGCATTGTCATAAGATAAAATTACAGTTTAAAAGATCTCATTGGTTTCTCTATGGGATTCCACAAACGAGTACACTCCATTCTGTAAAGCGGAATAGTGTTCACTGGATGTGACAGGATGGCTAGTATTTTTGACAGAAACAAGAAGTTTCTAAAAAGTAATTTGGTTAACATAAGGTTACTACAGACCACTTTTCTTCTAAGGCTTAAGAATAGGGTACTTTATTAAGTATATTCAGGAAGACTGGACTCTTTCTGATTGGTTTCTGTTACTCTCTTGTTTTTAGGAAAAAAAAACCCAAACATGTCTTTTGGGAGATTACCTTTTAACATGAGTAACTCCATTTTGGTTTGCTCTGGTCTGCTGTGGTCTAGTGCAGGAAACTAGTCCAAAACAATGGCCTCCCCAAAAGTTGTCTAACTGTATGTATATTTTAGTTGTAGAATTAATAGATAGCAGTGGGATTTTTAAAAATTAATTTTAACTGATACATAAAAATGTAAGAATTGTACGTGTTTGTGGGGTTCCTTGTGATGTTTTGATATATGTACCATATATGTTGTATAATATTGAAGTTAATTATGTGTCTTCAAGCATTTAGTTTTTCTTTGCTGTGTATGTGTGTGTGAGAGAGAGAGAGAAACTAGGGATTGTACCCAAGGTCTTTGTCCGGAACTATATCCTCAACTCTTTGTTTGAAACAGGATCTAAATACGTAAATTGCCTAGGCTGGGCTTGGATTGTGATCCTCCTGCCTCAGCCTCCCAGAGTCCTAGGATTACAGGCCTGTGCTACCATGGTTAGCTGTTTATCATTCCTTTTTGGTGAAAACAGTTGAAATCCTTTCTTCTAGCTTTCTGAAGTACACAGTGTATTACCATTATCTGTAGTCACTCTTCTGTGCAGTAGCACACCACAGCTTTGTACTCCTATTGGGCAGAGGCGCTCATTTAATTGAGTCATCCGTGAAGGCCAAATGCAGAGACAAGCACGTTTATTGGGGGCCGGCAGTGGGCACCCAGTACACGACTGAGCACCGGCCCCGAAGGGCAAGAAAGGAGAATAGTTACACAGTTCTACTTCCGGGTCTATGGTGGGGGGGGGGTGCTGATACGATTTAGTGCAGCTACAGAAAGACTACAAAGCATGCGCTCAGCTTGTGACAAAGGAACCAAAGGTGTTTGACATTTTACATAGGGGACAAGCAGTCTTCTTCTCATGGGGTAGTATCGGGTTAGGCAACTATGACAGCATTCACAAGAAACAAACTTTAGGAAACAGAAACTTAACCTTTAAACTGGCACTAGAACACAAAACGGCATTGGTTTAGTTTTCTTTGCCATAGCACTCCTCTTTCTAACTGGGTACCCATTGCTCATTGTCTCCCCATTCTTTCCTCCCTACTTTTCCCAGGCTCTGGTAACCACCCTTCTCCTCCGAACTTCTCTGAGACCCACTGTTTAGATATCATATATGACTGAGGTCATGCCTAGCATATTTCACAAGAAATGATCTCCATTTTCATCCATCTTATCACAGAAGAGAGGGGTTTTTTTGTTTTGTTTTGAAACAGGATCTCTACATTGTGCAGGCTGGTCTTGAATTCAATATGTAGCCCAGGGTGGCCTCAAATTCACAGTGATCCTCCTGCCTCAGTCTCCCAAGTGCTGGGATTACAGGTGTGCACTGCTACACCTAGAGATTTAATTCTTCCTAAGGGTTGAATGTTGTTCCATTGTGTATACATGCCACATTTTCTTTATTGACTCATCAGTTGATGGACTCTTAGTTTGGTTGTTTCTGGGTTTTTGTGAACAGTGCTGCAATGACATGGGAATACAGAAGTCTCTGACATACTGATTTTATTTTCTTTAGATACATGGTGGTGGGATTGCTGCTTTTATTTTTTAATTTATTTAAAACAATCTACTACTCATTTCCATAATGGCTATATTAATTTATGTTTCTACCAACAGGATGCAAGGGTTCTCTTTTCTTCATATTCTTGTCCAGCACTGTAGTGTGTGTGTGTGTGTGTTTTGAGGCAAGGTCTTGCTGTATATAGTTTAGGCTGGCCTTAAACTCCCTGTGTATCCCAGGCAGGCCTGAAACTTGTAGTGATCCTCCTGCCTCAGCCTCCCAAGTGCTGGGTCTGTAGGCATGTGCTACCATACCTGGCTAGCACTGTAGTCTTTTTAATAATAATTATAATAATTCTTATTGGAGTCAGGTGACATCTCATTGTGGTTTTGATTTGCATTTCCCCGCGTTTTGTGATGTTGAATACTTTTTCATATACCTGTTGACCATTTGTAGGTTTTGTTTTGAGAAATGTCTTGTTTATATCTATTGCCAATTTTTAAATTGGTTTGCTTTTTTTTTTTTGCTATAGACTTCTTGGAGTTAAATATTTGGAGTTACGTATATTGTGGGGATTAATCTCTTGTCAAGTAGATAGTTTGCAGATGCTTTCTTCTATAGATTGTCGCCTTACTCTGTTGTTTCCTTTGTTGTGCAGAAGGTTATAACCCCATTTGGCTCTTGTCGTTTTTGTTTCCTGTATTTTCTTGGTTATATGCAAAAAATCCTTGCCCATTTCCATGTCCAGAAAAAAAGAGTTTTTCTTAAGATGACTAAGGAACCTTGATTCTGTAGTGGCTGTGACAGAAACAATACTTGTCATATTTTTTGTTTGTTTATTGAGAGAGGGTCTTATTATGCAGTTCGGGCAAGCCTTGAACTCATTACGTAGCCCAGGCTGGCCTCAAGCTCACAGCCAGCCTTCTGCCTCAGCCCTCCGAGTGCTGGGATTACAAGCATGCACTACCATGCCTTTTTTAAAAATCAGTTAATAATTACTAGCAGTTTCTTACATGATATTTTTTGTCCTGAATCTAGAACAATAGAGGCTAGATACCAAGAGGAGAGAGTAATTCATAAAGGAAAGTGCTGGGATTACAGGCATGAGCTACCACACCTGGAGATATTTTGTCATAATGATTTGAATAATTGTATGCTATCTTGTTGCAATTTAGACCCACTGGGATGAATTCTTCAGTTCTTCCACAGGTTTTTGTTGTCTGAAAACCTTACTTTCTGAACATTATTATTCAAAATAATGAATAAAGAATAAAGAAAAGATACCAAATCTAGGTCCTAGAAAGTTGTAGTGCACTGTGATATGTCATTATGTTTCTACTTTTTTGTAAATAATGCTCAGAAACAAACTGTAAATACATTTATAAGTAGATTGATAAGTGTGGCGTGGAAGAGGTTGGATGATAGCAGACTCAGTCCCCTTTTTAAGTGAACTACTTAATTAGTATCCCTGTTTAATTCAGATGAGAGTCTAAGATCCAGAGAAATTAACTAAATAACATGCTGTATTCAGTCTTCCTTCTTACATAGCTATTGGAAGTGGTGCACGGCTTAGATCTCTGTTTTGACACAGTTGCTACTAGGGAGAACAGTATGGTCTTCGTGCTTTGAGCGGAGCCAGCACAACCATATGTGCTGGTTAATTACCTGAGAGAGACAGACAGGAAAGGAAAGAAAGGTCACTTCTGTTTGCCTACACTGTTAGTTGTGGGTTTATTTGTAAGCTAACTGTAACTGTTACATTAATTGCTTATCTTTTGATTGTAAATCCTATAGGAAATATATCTTCATACAGTTCAGTAAGAAATTCTGATGTAAGTCGCTAGAACCTCTTGTGAGCTGCAATCTTTCTTAGGGTATTTGGAAGTGGAATGTTGCAGGTAGAGTTGGGTTATCTTCCCTGGTCTTCTGTGTAGTGACTTTTGGTTGTCTGTCCTTTCCACATTATGAAATTGAAGTTTTTAACTAATTGATTTTGACTTAGAAAAACTAAGTTAAATAATTCATTTACTAGATTCATGGGGAAAATTTACTTTTACATATGAAATGTTAGATTATACTCTCAGAAAAATCTTCATATGACTAGAATAATGTATTCCAAAAGCATTGTTTAGCTTTTCCTTTTAGTGACTGACATTAGAGATTGAGTTAGTTCTTAACACTTACCAAGGAGTTAACAGAAATAAGATCTGTCCTCATACAGTGAATGTTAGTATCATGGATGCTTATACCTTTTAGCTGTATAAATGACCTGAAGCCAGTTTTGTTTCTTTAAGATAATAGAATGTTATTTGTTTATTATGGACTGATTCATTGATTTGTGGCATTTGATCTACCATCATGGGCTAGCACAAGTACTTCATGGAATAATGTAGTTCCATTGAATCATTTAATTGGTTCAGTCATGACTATTTGGTTGATACAGTTATATATCACAGTTAACATTCTTCAAGTTAATGTCCCTTTACTGGATTTCATTTAGAAACCTCTAACAGTTAAGGTAACTATAAACAAAGACATGGATTTGTAGATATTTGCCCTTTCCTATGTTTAATAAAATTTGTTAATATATTTTATAAGTAAATCTTAAATGTTTTATACTTACTGTAGTTGCCATATACTTGCTAATGAAATATTTTGTAATGATTTTATTTATTTATTTTTGGTACCGGGAATCAAACTCAGGACCATGTGCTTGCCAGGCAGGCACTGAGATATATCACTGGCCCAATATTTTGTAATGATTAAAAAGGATTCCTCCTTTTATTTTTAAAATACAGGAAAAAAAAAAGGATCATCTAATTGGAAATTAGTGTTGATTTTGACTAGGGGGTACTCCTGCATTTTAAATTTGAGATACTCTTACAGGCAGTTCTGAATGCTTAAAATGGTTAGTACGTATCTGTGTTACCTTGCTCATGGGGCATTAAAGTAGACAGAATACCTGTACCTTAGAGCTCTGTAAGTATCTCATTCCTGTCACAAAAGTCACAGCTAGTGGAAGTATTGAACAAGACATAGGGTAGTACTGAATATGTCATAACTGTCGAGGAGCTTCTTCCATCTCAGCTCTTCCAAGTTATTTTTCAAATAACTAATATTACGTAGTGATCACAGATACGAGGTGTCATTTGAATGATTCAAATCGATGTTGAATTAATGTAAGACATTCCTCCATTTTTGTAATTTGAATAGTTGATCTGTTGCACCTATTTTAAAGAATATTCTGTATTTAGAGGATTAAAAGCCATTTTATTTTCTAATATCTCCAGATCGTATATGAACTGTGGTATACATGTTTGTATTTTATTTTATTTATTTGTTTGTTTGTTTATTTATTTATTTATTTATTTTGGTACCGGGAATTGAACTCAGGACCTTACACTTGCCAGGCAGGCACTTATGCCACTGAGCTACATGCCCGACCCCCATGTCTGTATTTTAAAGAAAGCCTCAACACTTGGAAATGAATTTAAGCCCTAGGAGCACTAGCTAAAGAACTGTGAATTTGTGATTTGGAATGGGTGTTGATAAGGCAGTGGGTAATGAGGTAACGAGATGCTGACAGAAAATTTTCCTCCACAGGTTTCTTCTTGTGGATAGAGGAATAGAGAGTATTTAAAATTGAGTAAGCCTTTGATACCTTAAGATACTACTATCTGTCAATAATGCACCTGTGATTTCCCATCATTTTATACTAGATTTTTTTTGTTTGTTTGTTTTTTTGAGACATGGTCTCGCTCTATAGTTCAAGCTGCCTCTGAACTCACTATATAGCCCAAGCTGCCCTCGAACTTGCAGCAATCCTGCCTCAGCCTCCCGAGTGCTGGGATTACAGGTGTGTGCCACTACACCTGGCAAAAGAACTCTTTTTTTTTTTTTGTACTGGGAATCACACTCACGACCTTGTGGTTGCCAGGCAGGCACTGTGCCACTGAGCTGTCTCCCTGACTCTAGAATTCTTGTAACATTTTAGAGAATGCTTAATGTAATTCTCACTTTGTGAATGTCTTAAAAATTAAAAATATTTTACATGTCCATTGAAAAATATTTAAAAATGTAGAATTATTTAAAGCAAAGTGTGCTATTGCCCAAATCCCTCTCTTTTCTGCTAATAGTTTCATGTGATACCATATGTAGACATATATGTGACATAAATTTGTAGGTTCAGCGTTGATGTGTGTGCATGTATATAGCATAGTATATACAAGGGGTGACCAATAGATATGGTGAATGTTTAAATTTTTAAAAAATTATTGCAGTAAAAGATATTTCCAGGAATGATGGGATAAGTCTGTTCAAAGCAAAGAGGGGACTACTAGAGGGGGACTAACAGCAATGTGTCTTTCACTGTAGTAAATTTTTAAGTTTAAATATTCACCATTACTCCTTGAACAAACGTTTACAGCAGTTTCTGTCAATCACTGCATCGGGCACCATCGTAATTCCGGGTCGTCCCCAAAGTCAAAGTGACCAGAAAAGGTAAATGTTTTGAAGCAATTCAGGACAGTGAGGCAGCCACAACATAAAGACAACTTCCAGAACTACTTCAGAAAGTAACAGGGATGATGAGAAAAGCACATGGGAAGCAAGGGGGAATATTTTGAGGGGAATTAATCACAGTGTGTCTTTTAAGTGTAATAACTTTAAATTTGAACATTCATTGTACTTTTATTACTCCTCGGAAGACAGGGGAAAGTACTTTACATACTTAACTTTTGTTCCAAAATGTAATATAGGTGTTGATTAGACACATATTTGAAAAGTAAATTAAACTAAATGTACTAGTCCAGTGTCATGGCATACACCTCTGATCCCAGCACTGTGGAAGGCTGGGGGAGGAGGATCACAGTTCAAGGCCAGCCAGGGCAACTCAGTGACTTGGTGAAACCATGTCAAATAAGTAAGTAAATAAATGAATGAATGAATGAATAAGGTTGGTTATGTAACTCAGTGTGAAGACCCTGAGTCAATCCCCACTACCAAACATAAATAAACAACAACAAAACGTGTTCTCAATCATTTGAAATGGGTTCTTGCAGAGGATGGGATAGTGCTTTCCTGCAAAGTCCCAGACAGAACACCTAAGAAGAGCTCCACTTAAACATTGTGTCAGAGCTGCAGGGAGACGAGAAGATCATATTAGGAAGAGGTTTGTGTTTTAGATGAAGAAACTGAGGCTCAGAAGCGTTAATGACCCAAGTCATAGCCAGGTGCAAGTTTAATAAGGTTCCCTTTCTGTCGTGTCATGAGTGTTCTCATTACTTACTCCCAGATCGTGGATGTTGGTTTCTAGTTGACAAGACACAAAATAATAAGAACTCTTAAAATTAAAAATGAATGCTCTATTTATAAGCATAGTTGTTTTCCAAAAAAGTGAAGTGTAGCAAGTCATTATGCTTCCTCCCTGTTTAAGCATGTGGGTGGGTGTGATGATGTGTGCCGGTAATCCCAGCTATCCAGGAGGCTGAGAGGCAGAGGATCAAAAGTTCAAGGCCAGTTTAGGCAACTTCAGTGAGACCCTGTCTCAAAGTCAGAAGGGACTGGGGATGCAGCTCCATGGTGCAGTTTGCCTGGCACATTCCAGGGTCCTGGATTGGATTTCCAGCATGGGGAGTGTGGAGGGATGTTGGGTTAGAACATTGTTTTTACAGCCTTTTTTTTTTTGAACAGGGTCTCACTATGTAGTTCAAGCTTGCCTTGAACTCACTTTGTAGCCCAGGGTGGCCTCAAACTTTCAGCAATCCTCTTGCCTCAGCCTCCTGATGCTGGGATTACAGGCATGTGCCACCACACCTGGCTTCAACCTTCATTTCTTTTCCTTCTTCTTTACTCCTTTTCTCTTTCCTATCCTTCTTCTTTCTTCTCTCTTCTCCCCTAAAGAGGCTTTTTGGATTCTTTCAATACTCCATGGAATTTTACTACTGTGTACTGTAGCCCTTAGGTCCAAGATTTCCAAGATTTTTAACAAAAAACTATTCATTTCCAACCCCTAAAAGCATTCATTGTAATGATCTTACACACACACACACACATACACACACACATACACACACGTATACAGATACAGATTTATTTTTGGCTTTTTAATTAACATCATCCTGCTTTCTGGTGCTGTGCTGGCGGTGGAACCTGAGGCCTCACTCACGCTAGGCAAACACTGAGCTATACCCACACCCCTGCCATGTAAATGATTTTGCATTTTAGAAGAAACAGAAATAAGAGGAAAACCAGAAACCATAGAAAGTCTTTTCATGAACTGGCGATTTTCTGGGTCTGAATCCTTTATTGAACCCAACCCAGCTTTTCAAATGTATTTCTAAGTAGTATCTGTAATACACTTTGAAGCAAAAGATTTTTCATTCTGTTGGAGGCAGTGCCATTTCTGTTGAGAATGTACAAGTTCTGAGCAAGCTAGAATGACAAAATAATTCTTGACTGTCTTTCAAAAAATACTAACTTTACTTTCTTGTATTTGTTGTAGGCTTTCTTAGAAATGGCTTCTGAGGAAGCTGCTGTTACCATGGTAAATTACTACACTCCTGTTACTCCTCATCTTCGAAGCCAGCCTGTTTATATTCAGTATTCCAATCACAGAGAACTTAAGACTGACAATCTGCCTAATCAAGCTGTAAGTATTAAAGGCATCTTTATCAATAGGCAAAGAACACATTATCATAACTTAAAATTAATTTTCTATACATTAGAGAGGAAGAACCATGTTCTTCATTTAGGATACATTATTACTCAGGATTGTGTATATAATTTCTCCTAAGGCTTAAGAGTAAAGGCAGTGAATACCATTTAGAAATATTTGAAGTTATGGTATTAGAAATGATGGATCCTTTTGTTTTTCCATAGAAACTATTTCTACAATTAAAAAAAAGATATTAAGGCTGGGTGTAGAATGCATGCCTATAATTCTAGCACTCTGGGAGCTTGAGGTGGGAGGATTGCAACCTCAAGCTCAGCCTGGGCAACTTAGTGACTTAGCAAGATCCTGGATCAAAATAAAAAACTTAAAAAGTAGGGGTGGATAACTGGGGGATGTAGCTCAGTAGAAAGACCCTAGGTTCAATCCTCAATACGGGGGGGGGGGGGGAGGGAATAAGGAATCTTGATGTTTTAAAGCTTTTTCTTTATGTTATGAACATGTTTTCTTAACGTAGAGTAACTTTGTATTTATAGTATTTAATGACTATATATTATTCCCTTCTGTAGGAGAGACTTGGTTTATCTTTTTTCCCTTTGGTGGACGTTTAAAGTTTGTTTCCTATTTTTTGCTTTTACAAATAGTACTGCAATAACATATTTTTAGTACATTTGCAGCATTAGTTACATTTCTGGAAGTCGAATTGCTAGGACAAAGCGTGTGCGTATATTATGTTTGATCCATACATACAAAGTATGTTATAGATACTACATGATTACTTTCTGTAAAGATCATGTGCCTTCCACTTTTGACTGTTACTGATAATGTGTAAGTAATTTTCCCTCATATCTTTGTTAATATGACACATGAGAAATTATTTTATTGTTTTACTTTTATTTGATAAATAGTAATGTTTTTACGTTTCTGTTAATGCAGTTTCCTGCCACTTTTTAAATTATTGCAAAATGCACATAAAATTTATCATTTCAGCTATTTTAAGTGTACAGTTCTATAGGGTTAAGTACATTCAGGTGATTGTACAGCCACCACTACCATCCATCTTTAAAACATTTTCTTTGTCCCAAACTGAAACTGTCAAGTAATAACTTCCCATGCTCTCCTCTTCTTAGTCTCTGACAACTATCATTCTGCTTTTGTTTCAGCCTCTGGAGTTTTCTCCTTGTGTAATTTTAAAAATGTGTTTAAACATCCAATAAACTCAAGATTGTCATTATACAATCTTTAAGATTTAAGTGAACTATATTTCCTCTAATATTTGTATATTTTAGTTGCTTTTAGTTTATGTTTCTTGGTATTTTTGAGTCAAGATCTTGCTATACAGTTCAGGCTGGTCTTGAACTCACTTTGTAGCCCAGGCTGGCCTCGAACTTGCAATGATCCTCCTGCCTCAGCCTTCTGAGTGCTGGGATTATAGGTGTGCGGCACCATGCCTGGCTTTGTTTTGATTTTTGAAACAGTCTCACTGTGTATCCCAGGTTGGCCTTGAACTTGAGGTGATTTTTCTGCCTCAACCTCCTGATTGCTAGGACTACAGGCATCTACCACCATGCAGAGCTGGTTGCTTTTATTTGGATGTTTAAATTTTTGTCATCACATTATAGCACATGCATGTTCATGCTTACAGCAGTGTAATTCACAATGGCTAGAGTTTGGAAGCACCCTGTATGTCCATCAGCAGATGAATGGAGAAAACTTACACACAGTGGAGTACTACTCTCCATAAAGAAAAACAGACTTGAGTCATTTGTAGGAAAATGGGTGCACCTTCAGACCATTAGTAAAATAAATCAACCTAAATGTCCCGTGATTCTTACTTAAACCCAATTAAAAATAAAGAGCAAAATAAAAGATAATGGAAGGTAGAAAGATAGAGCTTTCTCAAATGGGAAAGGGGATCAGGAGACAGAGATGGATGGAAGCAGGAGTTAGGATGTGCTGTGTTCATGCGCCAGCTCCACACAAGCATGGCACACATTCAGACACAAACGTCATTGTGTGAGGGATATTTTAAATGTGGGGAGTGTGTTCAGTCTTTTTTTCTCCAAGACATTAATGTATAATTTTTCTAAAATAATCCATTTATTATCCACTCATTTGAAACTTGTCTTTAGTTTTCCACCACACGTAATGCATAGTAGACACGGGCGCAGGCGCACACACTCACTGGATGTGTCTACACGTTCGCGTGCGTGGTTTGATCTGCCCTTGAGTACTGCCCAAATGGCTCGTATACCAGGTCTAACCCGAACTAGCTTTTGCACTATATTCTGCTCCATTCCTGCTTCAGTGCATACTATAGCAGATATATTCTAGGGCAAAGTACTGTCTCTGTAGAAATTCGCTAGTATTTCTTGTTTGTTTCTCCAGATAAATTTAGAATTATTTTAGTAATGCTTGTTCCCTAAAAAACACACTTGGAATAGCATAGATTTTATAAATTATTTTGGGAATAATTAACATACTGCTTTCTGATCCTGTAGAGGGGAAAGTTACATTTTATTTTCTTTTATATCTCTCAATAGAGTTTTAAATTTTCCTTCATTTATGTCTTTCATTTTTCTCATTAGTGTATTCCTAAGTATGTCAAAACAAATCTTAAAGAAAAAAAAAAAAATTCAGTAAAACTCTTAGTAAAGATTGGATTATTCCAAAGGAAAACAGTGAGAAATTCCAGTTGCTTGGCAACTAGAGGTGCCCAAATGACCTAGTTTATTCTTAGATAGCATTGATTTCTTCCCAATACCATGTTCATTTTGTTACTTTTTTGCAATTTTTGTTCATTTGTGTTTGATTAAATGTTTTCTTTAAAGTCCTATACCAAACATAAATAAAAATTGATGGTGCCTGTCTCCCTATGTAAAAAGCACCATTTTTCTTTTTATTTGGACAGCCCCAGGAAACTAGTAGATGAGTTTATTTTCCTTTCCTTCTCTGAATAACGGGATATCCCAGCACATACGCCTGACTTCTTTCTAGGGACAGGTAAATACCAAGTAATTCTCTTTCTCTGTCTCTCTGTCCCTCTCTGTCTCTTTCTGGGGTTGTCCCCAACACTTGGGGCTCATACTGAACTACATGCCCATCCCTTTGTGTTTCTTACTTTCATACAGGATCTCACTAAAGTTGTCCAGCTGGCCTTGGTCCTCCTGCCTCAGCCTCCCAGCACTCTGAGATGACAGGCTTGAGCCCACATCTCTAGCTTGTCTCCTTGATTTAAACTAAAATCATAATTACAAAATTTAGATCATGTTCTGAAGTTCAACATTTGAGAAGTGATTATGTTAATGGCAGTTATTGTATATATGCTTTCTTGAACTTATGGATGGAAATTTATAAATTTGCAAAGAATTAAATCTTAGAAAGGTTTCCCCTTAAAAAGATTCCCTAAAATAATTAAACTGATTAATTGTTTAAAATCTATATATTTACTGTGTTAATTTCCCATCTTCTTGACATTAGAAATGTCTTCTTCACCATACAAGATGGTAGGAGTTTTAACAGTGGTTCTTACACTGCATATTGTTTTCAGATCAGTTGTTCTGATTACCAGATTCAAGTGTGCAAAACTGGTCAAGAAAAAAGAAAATTTTAAGTATTGATTGTTCCTTTCAATAAGCCACAGACATCAGCATATACATATAAATTTTGTTTTTCACTTTAAAGAAAAAAGAAAAGAAAACCAAAATGACAAAAACAAATACATAGACAAAACAGCATAGAGAACAATAAAAATGATACAGAATTTCAAAACAAGGTGATAGGATATTAACAATGGTTGTTCTATTACATAGTGTTATCTTCAAAATGGTTGCACATATAACCAGATATAAGCATGTAAGATTGATCAAACAATTACACATTAACAGTTTCTTTCAATAAACCAGCAGCTATTAGTAGTACAGTTATCCTAGCTATTCTGTGTATACATACACATTATTTTTTCTTTTTTCTTTTTCTTCTCCCCTCCCTCATCCTAGTTGCTCCTTCCTATTTGAACAGTTTCTTTTCTCTTTCACAATATCTATTGTACCTTTCAGAGTTTATGTACTCTTTCAGGTTCTTATAGTAGGGAGGAAATACAATGTTTACACATGTGAATCTGATTTTTTTCACTTACGAGTATGGTCTGTAGTTGCATCCATTTACCTATAAAAGCCTCTAGTTTATCTTTCTTTATAGCTGAGTAATACTCCATTGTATAAAAATACCACATCTTTTTTATCCATTTCTTCGTTGATGGGCATTTGGGTTGTTTACAAGATTTAGCTGTTACAAATTGCGCTACTATAAACATGGGTGCACGTATATTGCTGTGGTATGATGTTTTCAGCTCTTCTGGAAAAATACCCAGGAGGGGAATAGCTGGGTTGAATGGGACCTCTAATCCTAGTTTACTGAGGAATCTCCAGACTGATTTCCACAGTGGTTGCACCAGTCTACACTCCCACCAACAGTGGATTTTCCCCACAGCCCCTCCAGCATTTGTTATGGGTTAATTTATAGCCATTCTTTCTGGAGTGAGATGGAATCTCAGTGTTGTTTTAATTTGCATTTCTCAAATGACTAATGATGTTGAGCATTGTTTGATGTATTTATTTGCCATTTGTGTATCTTCATGTGAGAAGTGTGTATTCATCTCAGGTGCCCATATTTGGATTGGGTCTTTGAATTTTGGGGGCCTGGGTTTTTTTAATTCTTTGTATGTTCTAGACAGGAGTCCTTTGTCTGAGGGACAGTTGACTAAAATTTTTTCCCAATTGGTGGGTTTTCTTTTCACCCTGTTGATGATTTCTTTTGATGTGCAAAAACTTTTCAATAAGATGTGATCCCAGTTTTGCATCATTTCCAATTTTTTTTTAGTACTTGTTGTTGTCTTTGATCATTTGATCACTCTTACATTCTTACGTCTGATGGACTGAGCACCATTGTTGAAGATAGCAATATGTAATGTAGCAACC